TCCAGTAATAGGTGGCACTCTGGTTTCGTTGACTTGTAATATTTGAAGGGTCAAATTCTGCATGAAATGCTGGAACTCCATGTCCCATCTTCCTGTGATATGCCGATTCAGTTCTCTCAGGCTGGAAGACAAGTTCTTTACATGGGCACTGCTTCCACCACATTGACATCAGTAATATCTTCAGGATCATCCATATCTTTGTCCATATTGCAGCACCGTACTAGGCGTTCGGGAATCCAAATGGGTTCGTCCTTTTCCTGTGGAAAGACACATACAGATCCCCTGGACCAAGCTAACACTGGGTCCGGTCCGTTCCATGATCCAGTTAACACATCTTTCCATTTTACTAATCCCTCTTTGTTTTGTATCCAATTGGTGTGTCGGTCAGCAGAGGAACGACCTTGTTTATCTAATTGTAAAAAATTCAATGTAAATAGAGCGAGTGAAATCCTTTGTCTTGGGGTATGGTCTTTACCTATTCCCCCTTTTTGTTTTAATAAACATTCTTTAAGAGTGCGGTGGGCTTGCTCCACCACACCTTGACCTTGTGGATTGTATGGTAGGCCATGCTTTAACATAATCTGCATGGTGGCACAAAAGGAGGTAAATGAGGCGGCGGTGTACCCTGGGCCGTTGTCCGTCTTTAGCACTGAAGGTTTGCCCCAAGCTGCCCAAGCTTCTAAGCAGTGCGTAATAACATTGCGAGTCTTTTCACCAGATAAAGGAGAGGCGAAAATGATCCCACAGCAGGTATCCACAGAGACATGGATATACTTTAACTTTCCAAATTCTGGAAAATGTGTCACATCCATCTGCCAGAGCCTAAGAGGTTGAAGACCTTTCGGGTTAACACCTACACTAGGGGGGTGTAGATATATATTACAGTCCGGGCAGTGGACTATTATATTTCTAGCAGTAGCGCGTGTAATGTTGAATTTTTGTTGTAAGGTTTTAGCATTAACATGAAAGGTAGAATGGAATTGTTTAGCTCTTATTTCAGGGGAGTCAAAGAGAGCGGGCATAATGAATTCACGGCGAGTGGCTGCATCCACTTCCGCATTGGCACAGCTCATAGGGCCGGGTAGGCCAGAATTAGCTCTTATATGTTGTACAAAAAATGGATTTTTGCGCTGCCACAATAATTCTTGTAAATTTAGTAATAATCCAGAGATTGTGCTGGATTCTTTAATTCTACTAGCAGCTTCTATACCTTTTAATGCATTAACTACATATAAGGAATCTGAAATTAAATTGAAAGGTTGAGAAAAAATTTTAAAGACCTCAATAACAATCTTTAGTTCAATAATTTGCGGTGAGCTTGGGGCAAATTGCACTACCACAGGATCACGAGAGTCAATTTTATAAGATCCACAGCCTGTCTTTGAACCATCAGTATATATATGATCGCAGCCCCATACAGTGGAGAAGTCCTGGTTATTTTTGGAAAGATGACAGGGTGCGCTTCAAAAAACTGTAAAATAGGGTCTTTAGGGAAGTGATTGTCAATGCTTCCTTCAAAAGAACATTGGAGTATCGCCCACTCATCAATAGTTCCGCTCAGAACTTGTACTTGATGAGCGTCATAAGGAACTATCAATACTTCTGGCTGTTTTCCAAAATGGGAAATACATAAACGTATCCCTTCCAGGGCCATAGAAGCTACTTCAGTGGGGTAATACGTAATAGTCTTTGCTGGAGAGATCCTGGGATGGACCCACAATAGAGGGCCATCCTGCCATAATACGGCAGTGGGCTGATGTTTAGTTTTCAGAATTAAAAGAGTAAGATCTTGTTCAGGACTGAATCGCTTTAGAAAGGCTTTTGCTAACTCCTCTTCTACTATTTGGAGAGAATTGCGCCCCTCGGGGGTCAGTGTTCGAGGGGAATTCAAATCAGAGTCCCCACATAGAATATCATAGAGAGGCTTGAGCACCTGATTCGGGATTCTTAAATAGGACCTTATCCAATTTATGTCACCTAATAATTTTTGAAAATCGTTTAGGGTACAGAGTTCATCCTTTCTAATTTCAAGTTTTTGTGGAACCACCCCTTTGGAGTCAATTTTGGCACCTAGATAAGACATAACAGAGTCTTGCTGTACCTTTTCAGGGGCAATATGTAAATTACATTTCTTTAAAGCTTGCACAACAGCTACATAAGCTTCCTGAAGTACATACTTATCTTTATGAGCTAACAGGATATCATCCATGTAATGGAGACACCGCAACCCTTTAAAGTGATCTAGCACCGGGCGCAGGGCTCTGTCCACAAAGATTTGACACATGGTAGGGCTGTTGGCCATGCCCTGGGGCAGGACGGTCCACTCATAGCGCTGTTCTGGGAATTCGGAATTACAAGAGGGTATGGTGAAAGCAAACCTCTGAGTGTCCTTAGGATATAGCGGAATGGAGAAAAAGCAATCTTTTATATTTATAGCTATTATTGGCCAGTCTTGAGGCAAGGCGGCTAACAATGGAAGCCCTCGCTGCACTGGACCCATAACCTGCATTTGTTTATTAATAGCCCTTAAGTCATGCAGCAATCTCCATTTTCTTGACTTTTTCCTAATGACAAAGATAGGTGTATTCCAAGGGGATACTGATGGTTTAATGTGATTCAATTGCAATTGCTCCATAACTAACTCTTGGGCTGCTGCTAATTTTTCGGAGGATAATGGCCACCGAGCTACCCACATGGGATCCTCCGATTTCCATGTAATGGGTATCGAGGTCTCAGCGGCCTCTAGGAAAAACCCAGCCCCTTTGTATCCTTTTTTGGTGAGGATGGGATGGGTTCTTTGATTCCCTGTAAGTTTTTTCCTATTCCAAATGAAGGATGCCATCCCATCTCTCTCATCATTTCTCTTGACACTAAAGAATAGTTATTGGTCAATTTATAGTCCATTGCTGACAACAAATTTCTCCCCCACAAACTAACAGGGATTTCTATAATATAAGGTTGAAATTCTCCTTGATGCCCTTCTTTATCTACCCATCTGAGCTGACCAGCACTCATTTGAGGAGATTTAGCATACCTGAGGCCCTGTAAAGTCTGCGAAGATTCTTGTACAGGCCATTTGGCTGGCCAGTCCTTCCTAGCTATGATACTATGATCAGCTCCGGTGTCTAACAATCCTAATATTTTTCTTCCATTGATGTCTAATTCTACTAATGGTCTATCATCCAAGTCTAGTGAACGGAACATAGCGTCTTGACCACTGGAGCCAAAACACTGATCCCTTCTTTTTTTATTTCTAGAGGGGAAGATATTGTGTAGACTAGGTATTAACACTAATTGAGCAATACGGTCTCCTGGGGATATTGCGGTAATTCCTCTAGGAGAGGAGGCCAGAATTTTCACCACTCCCTCATAATCTGGGTCAATAATTCCTGGATGTATGATAAGACCATGTAATGTGGATGAAGAGCGGCCAATGAGCAATCCAACTGTACCCTTAGGTAGCGGCCCTTTAAAATCTGTGTCTACAACTTGTATTCCCATTTGTGGGGTCAATACAAGTCTGGTGGTGCAACAGAGGTCCAGTCCTGCGCTCCCTCTTGTGGCCCTCCTGGCAAGGGCTGTTGTTTCCGCGTGCCGTTCATCGGGCGTAGACTGGGAAACATGGGTGTCTGAAATGCCCCATACATTTGTGTTGGGCCCTGGGGTCTGGGGCCCTGCTGTGCGTTTTTTGACTGGGCTCCTGCAGACCCTGGGGTCAGTGGATTCCCCTGTATGTCCTTAGCTGAGCGGCATTCATTAGCCCAGTGATTACCCTTTTTACATCGTGGACATAGTCCAGGGGAAGGTGTGGACACGTGTTCTCCCTTCTTAGACTTGTTGGGACACTGTCTTTTTAAATACCCAGATCGTCCACATAAAAAACAAACTCCAGCATTACTCTGCCTTCCATTCCTATTTTGTGCCAGCTGTAAAACAGCAGCAGCAAGACCTGAGTTGGTCAGGGGGCCACCAATTTCCCTGCAAACTTTAACCATACTTGGAGTCCCTTATTTTTCCACGGGGTGATGGTTTGCTGGCATGCTCTAGTACTCTGTTCATATATGAGCTGCTCTACTAAAGGCATAGCTGTATCTAGGTCACCAAAAATTTTCCCTGCTGCCTCAACCATCCTTCCTACAAAATCAGAGGATGGCTCAGTAAGCCCTTGAATTATCTTTGACAAATTTCCAGTCACTTCACCTTTATTAGGAATTTTCTTCCAAGCTTTAATTGTTATCTCATTTATTTGAGTATAAACTTGTAGGGGGTAAACTGTCTGATTATTAGCCCACTGTCCCTGGCCAGTCAACATGTCAAAAGTCCATGCTGGTTGACCTTGTGCTGCATTTTGTCGCGCCTGGCCTAGGGCATAATCGGTGTAGAGTGATTTCCAATCTAAGTATTGACCAACAGTTAAACAGGCTTTCACTGTGCTCTGCCAATCAGCTGGCGTTTGAGCATGTAGAGCAAGATGTTCCAGCAGTGCAAGAGTAAATGATGCTCCTACCCCATAGGTCTTTACTGATTCTGCTAATGTCTTCAATTGTTTAAAGTCAACAGGTTCATGATAACGCTGCTGGTTGGCGTCCTCAAAAACAGGGAAGGCCTCTGCAGCTTGCCTCCATGCTTCAGGGCAAAAGGAAGTCCGTAAGGGAGGTGACTCTTGCCCGTAAGGCAGAGGGATGGGCGGAGCACTAGGCTCCATATGACAGGGTGGAGACTCTTCTGAGTCTCTCCCTTGCTTCCGTCTTTCTCGCTTCCCCTTTTTAAGTAGTCTGGCCCTCTCCAGTCTTAACAAAAGATTGTGATTTTTTTCCTCTAAGTCATCTAAATGTTCCTCACTAGAACTATCACTGTCTGAACTCTTATCTTCAGTATCACTGGCGTCCTCCAAGCTAGGGTAGAGCCTTTCTCCTGACTGTGATTCCTCTGAGCGTGTTTCTTTTATCTGTTCTAGAACCTCTTCGGACTTTCTTAAGGCAGTCACACACTTGTCATTTTTTAAACAGTCACGTACCAGCTTCCAAACCCCTCGAACTCCCGCTCTGAGGTGTCCCTCTTCCCATGCAGCATCGAGGTCTCTACCGAGCTTATCCCAACTGTTGATTGTGAGGTGTCCAGACACTGCATACCACGGAGCAACTCTATCAACCTCCTTTAGAAAATTTTCAATGATCCTATCTTTAAGTTCCAAATCCTTAGCTTTTAACAGACCTTTTAGGGCCGTTTTAACAGGACATGAGGGTGAATTACCCATGGTTTCACTTTCTATTTCTGGTCACTCACCACAAACTTTAGAAAATTGCCTGCTCTCACAGGTCCTTATAGTCTCCTTCCGAGAACTTTAGAAAATTGCCTGATCTCACAGGTCCTTATAGTCTCCTTCCGAGAACTTTAGAAAATTGCCTGATCTCACAGGTCCTTATAGTCTCCTTCCGAGAACTTTAGAAATTAGGTCAGTCCTTACCTGACACTTACCAGCTGGCTGCCCTGTCCACCGTGAGTTCTGGAACCACGGCACCTCTTCAGTTTCAAAGTTCGATTCCCTGTACGGGCCACCACTTGTTGCGCGCCTCACCGGTCCCGCCGGAATAAGGACACAACACACAGCGGTTCCTTCTCACAGTGGTTTACTCAGGAGTTCTGTTACAGAGGGTGGTGGCGAAAGCAAGAGCGCGAAAGGGAAATTGCGCGGCCTTTTATCCCCTCTTCAGGCCTCCGCCCATCAGTCTCATGTGTCATGCCTCCATTGGACCATTAACCCCACGTGAGATCGAGCCATCGACCAATGAGAACACAGTGCCCAAATAAGGTCTTAAGTGTGATTCCGAAAAACAAGGCGAGGCAGGAAGTCGGCGCCATCTTGTAATGGCGAATCGTGAGGCAGGAAGTCGGCGCCATCTTGTAATGGCGAATCGTCCGTGACTCTCCACAACTTCCATGGCTTCTGTGATTTCAAACACATCAGCTGATGGTAGTTCCTTATGTTGGGATCAGTGTCTCTGAAGTTTAGTCGCAATATTTATTGGTCAAATGTGATGCATCCTGTAGAATTGCTGTGTAGATAGGCTTTTCTTGGCCCGAGGGCCTGTGGCCCTCGGGCCAGAACGGATGTCGCGGGCTTTTTGGCATCTCCGATTACCTGAGAAAATAGGGTGGGTCTGCGGGGTCTGCTGGCTGTCCTGTGGGGTGCCCAGGTTCAGCTAGTCAGACAGTTAAAATCCACTGGTTGATCTGTGGGAGAAAGAGGGGCAATTTACTCCCATCTGAATTACTGACTAAAAATTACTGGAGGATCAACGATGAGTCAAGTTCTGAGTCAACAGCACATAACAACAAAAATTAAATGAATATCAGTATTTTCACATTTTTCTTTCAGTTCACTGTCATCATTTTTCCAAATTTATTGTACTGTTATTCTAAATAATATGGTTTTATTCAAGGTTATTCTCAAAAAGTTTCATTTAACAAAGAAACATATCCTCATATTATTCTTTTAAAGATGGAAAGTTAAAGAATTCAATTAAAAAGGTGAGTATGACTGACTGATGTGACAATCTCCTCCCTTGTGATTTACAGCCTCTAAAAAACACAGTTAGGTCTGGTGCCCTAGTGGTGGATGAGACGCTGCACTACAAATCCAAAGGCATGTAGTTCAAATCAACCAACTGTTCCTAAGGAAGATTGCCAGTCTCCTCCCATGTAATTAACTGCTTCTGAAAACCTGCTGGAGAGTCAGCTATGAGTTGGTTCTGTTTCGATGGTATATAACAACAACAAAAACCCACTGAGGGTCGGCTGTAAGTCAACTATAACTCACTGACACATAACAAAACAAATGGCAAACTGACCAGTGGGGAGAAGGACGATAAAGAAGCATTTTTGTTTCCTTATCTGTAGAGTGAATTAAATGATTTATTATTAGTTGGTGGCCTTTACCTACTGCTTTTATCTGTATGCTGAGCAAATAATTTGTTTGAAACTGAACTTTATGTAGAAGGACGTGGCATCAGGACTGGAGGAAGTCTTATCAACAACCTATATTATACAGATGACACAATCTTGCTTACTGAAAGCAAGATGGAGATGAGACACTTGCTGAAAAAAAACATCATGGGTTACAGCCTTTAATATGGATTGCGTCTCAAGATCAAGAAAACCAGTATTCTTAGCACTAGGCCAATAGGTAACATCATGATAGATGGAGATAAGTTTGAAATTGTCAATTATTTTCTTTTACTTGGATCCACAATGAACACAAAATACCAGCCTATAAAAGTTCAGGTTATGGACAACATTGGCAAAGTCTGCTGTCAGGGACCTCTCTTTGAAGAGCAATGAAGTCAGCTTAAAGACTAAGATGTGTCTGATTCAAGCCATGGTTCTTCCAATTCCCTGATATACATCTGAGAACTAGGTAATGAATAAGAATAAAAGAAGTATTATTGATGCCTTTGAGTTGTGGTGTTGGAGAAGAGTATTGAATATTCCAAGGACTTCCAAAAGAACAAATAGATATGTTTGGGGAAATCTTCAGCCAGAGGAGGCAAAGATGGTGAAGGTTTGTCCCACTTACTTTGGGTATGTTGTTAGAAAAAGCTATTCCTTGGAAACAGACATCATGCTTGAAAAAGTGGAGGGTCAATAAGAGAGAGGAAGATTGTCAATGAGATAGACTGATACAATGGTTATGAAATAGGCTTAAGTGTGTTGGGGATGATAAGAATGGCACAGAATAGGGCAGGGTTCAAATCTGTTGTTTGGGGGCTTGTTATAATTTGTACTCAACTCCATGGCACCTAAACAAAGAGAAGTGGTTCAAACTCACTGGAGTCTTTTCCATCTTAACAGTAATAAGTTTATGAGACTAACTACAATGAAGTTAGTCCCAACTCATAATGACTTTCCACTAGCTTTCTGAGGCTGTAAATCTTTATGGGAAAAGACTGCTTATCTGTCCCCCCAAAGTCAGCTGGTGGATTTGAAATGCTGACCTTTAAGTTAATAGTCCAAAAGTGCCACTGTGGCACCAGGGCTGCTTCCATGTTATATTAAATGGATCCAAGCAATTTTATTTATAAACCTGCGAGCAGATTAAAAAAAAACTGAAAAGGATTCTTAATGATAGAGCTTTTGTATGACATCAAAAACATCATACTTGAATAAAGTAAAAGGTTATTACAAAGATAAAATGATCAAAATGAACAATAGAAGATATTCTAAAGCTCCTTAACATTAAAAAAAGCCCTCGCAGTCACTCCAGTTAAATTTGAACCTATAACTAGTGAGGAGGAAATTGCTTATCTTTATCCTCCAGAGCCAGTGGTAGATATGAATGTCTAAGAGAGTGTACATCTTTGGGTTAGCAACTCAACTCGCTAAGAACTGCTTCATGAGAGCACCCTAAAGAAGTCAAAATGAAGGGAAGAAGTGAAGAAGTATGAGAGCTAAAGAGAAGATTTCAAAGGGCAGCTCAAAAAGACAAAGTACACTAAAATTTGCAAAGAATTGGAATTTAAAAATCAAAAGTGGAGAATACTTCTAATGTTTCTCTAGCTGAAAAATAGATTAATAAATTCAACATCAAGTTATATTATTGAAAGATTGTTGTTGTTGTTAGGTGCATCGAGTCAAGTACTATGTATAGCAATCCTATGAACAATGGTTCTGAACCCCGGGTTATCCAGTACCATCTTAACAATTCCTGAAACACTGCAGTCCATTGCAGCAGTCACCATGTCAATCTACCTGGTTGAAGGTTTTCCTCTCCTTCGTTGACCCCCCACCCTTCCCAACATCATGTTCTTCTCCAAGGAATAGCCTCTCCTAGCAACATGTCCAAAGTATATGAGGTGAAGCCTCATCATCCTTCCCTCCAAAGAGCACTCCAGCTGCACCTTCTCCAAGACATACTTGTTATTTTAGAGCTCCATGGGCTGTTCAGTATTCTTCTTCAATGCCAAAACTTAAAGGCATCAATTCTTCTTATGTCATCCCCATTCATTGTCATCCCCATTCTTTGTCCAGATCTCTGCAATTTCAAATTCAACTCAACTCATTATCATCCAGTCAAAATCAACTCATAGCTGATGCTCCAGTGGAACTCTGAAAGCCAGCTGGTCAGCTGGGATTCACTTCTGCCTCTGAGGAAGTAAGTTTGAGTTTTCTATCTAATCAGCATATTCCTTTCCAGTTGTGTCAGCTTAACATGTGCTGTTCTTGCATACTCAGACTTGAACATTATCATGAACAAACAGGAAATGAAAATATTTTGGATTTAAAACTAGTGCATTTCTTGATTTATTGCCCCTTGATTTTGTGAATAGTAAGGATGATGTAACCCTACAATTGTATAGGAATTTAGAATTTGCAAAGCAAAACCTGTTGCTTTTGAGTTGATACTAATGTATGATAAGCCTCCTTCAAAGGATTATATTTAGTGGGAGCAAGCTGCATCATCTTTCTCACAAACCTTTCCGTTAGCAGCTCAGTATGTAATCCATTCTAATTTCAGGGCTCTTAAGGGTTTGCAAAGCGGTAGCTTTTCTTTACATTTAGTACATTTTTAAAATAAATGTTTCATTGTTTCTAAAATTTTGAAAACAAATTATAGGTGTGAATTTACTTAGTATTTTTTTCTAAATGTATATGATTGTTTACAAACAAGAGCATTATTCCTCAATTCTAGAGTTACTGAGTGTTACACAGGGTTCAGTCTCTGACTATTGAGTCAAAGGTCAGAAGTTTAAATGCAAGAGACACCCCACAAGAATATCCTGTTATACTGTGAAACACATGTGATCACCGTAAATTGGAATCACCTCAATGGCTAGATTTTGGTTTGGCTTGGCTGTTTTTGTTTTGTTAGTTTGTTTAGGAGTTTTATGGTTTATTCCATCTATTCCAATAACATGCAAGTGGTGAAAGGTGCTATTATTGGAAGGTCCATTACAAATGGAAATTACAAAAAATAAAAGAAATGTGGTGTGCTCAAGGTGACACCGGCAATGAGCATTTCCATTAGAATATAGGGGAATCTGTTACCATAGCTATAGAGAGAATTATTCACACAATTATTTTAATCATAATGTTGATATAAACATAGCAATATAATTTAAGCCTCTGACAATATTTCATACTGGTGTAGACAGATGGAAAATATTGGATTTGTCAAAAAGTTAAGACCAAATAGAACAGGGTTGTTACTAACAATACATATATATATGATTTATATTTGCTGCTACAATTGAAATCCAC